TATATATACATATATATGTATATATATAGTGCAATATAAATGGGTAAGCATATATATATAGACGGCCTGGAAAGCACAAGTTGCTTGATCCAACAGTAACCATAGGTCTGCATACATGGTAATGCCTTGCATACATATTGTACCTTGTCACATGACTTTTTTTTTTTAAACATCCACATGACTCCAATGTCAGCTATGTGCCAAATTTCTGCCCTCCAGTTGTGGTAAAACTACAAATCCTATCATTCATCTGTTTCTGGGAGTCACACCTGTGGCTCTTTGAGTCTTGCAATGGTTTATGGGATTAGAAGTTTTACCACATCTAGAGGACTGAAGTTTGGCTACCCCTGCTTCATAGATTACATGGAATATAGTTCTGCATAACAATGCTGGAGAGGGACTTGGAAATAGTGGTCAACAGTAACACTACTAAAACCACTCAATGCTGTGCTTCAGCTGCAAAGACAAAGTTTTTATATCAAAAGTAAATAAAACATGTGATGCTAGTATAGTACTTCTCCTGTATACATCAACTTAAAGGCCTCTTCTAGAATATGGGGTTTGGATGTAATGCTAGCATAGTACTTCCCCTGTATACATCACTTTAAAGGCCTCTTCTAGAATATGGGGTTTGGATGTGATGCTAGCATAGTACTTCTCCTGTATACATCAACTTAGAGGCCTCTTCTAGAATATGGGGTTTGGATGTGATGCTAGTATAGTACTTCCCCTGTATACATCACTTTAAAGGCCTCTTCTAGAATATGGGGTTTGGATGTGATGCTAGCATAGTACTTCCCCTGTATACATCAATTTAATGGCCTCTTCTAGAATATGGGGTTTGGATGTGATGCTAGCATAGTATTTCCCCTGTATACATCACTTTAAAGGCCTCTTCTAGAATATGGGGTTTGGATGTGATGCTAGCATAGTATTTCCCCAGTATACATCAATTTAAAGGCCTCTTCTAGAATAAGGGGTTTGGGGCATCTCTTTGTGAAAAAGACAGGAGTTTTGGGGGTGGGTTAAGCAACTAAATTAATAAAAATGATTGACTATATCACTAAGAAGAGAAAAAAATGTATGTTCAGTTTGCAAAAGGCCTTAGAGGCAAGTTAAATAATGTGTTTAAATATCTCCAAAGTCAGAAAAAGTTTTGGCAAATACATTTTTTTTAATCTCAAGGACTGAAAAATACTAGATAAGGGGACAAAAGTTGTGAGTGGAAGACAATAGATTTTACTATCAGTTTTGGAAAGGGTGCAATAAAAATATTTAAGACAACCTCACTACAAAATGGTAAAATCAATGGTGGAATTTAAAAAAAAAGAGAAGATAATTGACAAGATGACTGGCTTCGGCCTCATTCACACGAGAAAAGGCCGGCACGTACAGCTACATGCTGCGTGCATGGCCGTATCGGGCAGCTCCCGGGAAGGACAGGTGCTGCATGTGATTAGTACGCAGCCCCTGTCCTGCTCTATGGGAGTACACGGCTATATGCCGCCCTACGCTCACCTGCCCTGCACGTCCGTGCGGGTGTCCGTACTCGTACGCTGACAGAATTAATCCTGTCTGAGCCGGGACACCCGCACCTGTATAGACCTGCACTTGGGGTGAGTGAGCGTAAGGGGGCGTATGGCCGTGTACTCCCATAGAGAAGGACAGGGGCTGCGTACTAATCACATGCAGCACCTGTCCTTCCCCGGAGCTGCCCAATACAGCTGTGCATGCAGCACAGAGCTGTACGTGCCAGCCTTTTCTCGTGTGATTGAGGCCTTAGGGAGCTGACCCTTATTCTCCCAGCTACAGTGCAGCTGTACAATGCAAGCTAATATACAGAAAGGTAAACATATTTATAAAATAGGTGTCATGATTTTTTTAAAATAAGTACTGGATTTTTTTAAAAATATTTGAATATCAGGTTTAATGTTAGTCTGATAGAAAGAAAGCATACAAATGGATTAGACTGTCAAGAAGGATCTGGGGATGGATTGCTCCATGTAATCTTAAATCTAGTCTATAGTCTAAATTAATGTAATACCGCTAATATTTTGGTGTTATTTGGAGGCTGCAACCATTTTCCAAATAGAGTGGTCTGAGCATAGGTCCGCGTCTCCAACAGGATTCCTCTGTAGACCGGGCCAATTATCTGAACTGGAAAGTGAAGAAAAATGAAATCAAATTATATACAACAGTTACATATGAAACATCTACAAATTTGACCTGCAATTCGTCTTGTGTAGCTGTATAGCGACTGAGTCATTCTTACAGACCACATGGCTCTAAATGAAATCCTGTCAAACGGTAGATTAGGTGTTCCCTTATTGTAGTTCTCAAAAAGGAAGATTGTCTAGCACGGAATCATCTAACAAGAAGCTACAGTTTCCTCAAAAGCTCTGTGAGAAAATCAGTGGTGGACATAATCACCAACGGGCCCCGGTTTAGGAAGGATTTTTGGACCCCTTATGCTGCCCAAGAATAGTCATTACAATACTCTGAACTCCATCAAGGTTCATCATTTGCAATGCCCCCTTCACTTGCAGTCTAAATGATGATAGTAGAATTCTGAATGTCCTAGTGCTGGTCAGACAGGAAGATGCTTAGTGCCTAAAACCACTTGGAAATTACAGGAATATAGTTAGGGCATCCTGAAGAATGATTTCCCACTTTTTATCTGTCCTAGAAATGAACAATGTCCAATTCTATGTTACAGTGGAAGAGGGTCCCAGCACCCACTTTACCCACATCTAGTATGAGGGCCCAATCTGCACAAATGGTATGTTCACATCTGAGAACACTACTGATTCTGAATAAGGGCTCATTCACACAGTCATGCACATCCGTATGCATGCCATTTGGATATATCTGATTTCTAAGATTTGTATTGCAGTGTGTCTATGCAATATGGGAACTATCAAAAACACATGATATATCATTCAATACAGTAGAGGCTTATATCTAAATAACAGAGAGGAAATTAATTACCAAAAGATGTATTGTGTAAATTAGGGTTGCACAGATACCAAGTACAGTATTCGGTACAAGTACGAGTACATGTACCGATACTTTTGAGCGCCAAGACTACACTAGAGAAAAATTCAAAAATTAGGAGGCCGCTGTCATTTGTAAGGCACACGGAGCTCCTGGGATTTGTACATCTCTGTTTTAATGTATGATTTTGTTTTTATAAATATAAATAAAGTGATGCACAGATACCAGTTTTGCGACTACGAGTACTGGTACTTGCCGAGTACTTACAAGTACGAGTACTGATACATTTTTGTTTATTGTCATGTGACAGTTTTTTAAAAACAATACAGACTAATGATTTCAGGACAGTGGTGGAGTGCCAGAGCCAGGTCCCAGCTGCAACCGCTGCAACCCTGGTAGTTGTCATGAAAATGCCAAGTATCGGCACTGGTACTCGGAAAGTATCTGTGCATCCCTAGTGTAAATGTAGTATTGTTTTCTTTCTGATCTTATATGACCCACCGAGAGAAAATGTGCTAACTTACCTTGTATAGGTCTTCCCTTCTGGATAAGAGTGGAGTTTGTCTTGATTATATATGGGGCAGGCTTAGGCTGGGGATAGATTCCAACATGCCCCGGGATCATTGTTTCACAAGCAGATATCGGTGCTCCAGTTGGGTAAGCGATAGATATGGGGCTGAAAGACATCAGAACTAAGAGGAGTGACCAATGAAGTTGTGCCATTCCCAGAGTAAGATCTGGTTGTGCTGTCTGTACCCTGGATGATAATTGGAAATAGGGAACAGTTCTCTCTAGTATAGCTCTGGACCTCTGAACACTTCAGCCGTACTGATAGAACTGAGTGCTGTAAACTGGTTTTACACAGACCATTTATATTCTGTGAAATCCATTTTGATGTGGTTGTTGATCACACTTCATGTAAGCATGGGTAAAGGTCATGTAAAATGGGAATTCAGTTAATCCAGAAGGAAAAGCTTCTTTGTAAACAGAGAATATTGATGGGTCTGGGGCAGCTAGAAGTAAGAAAATCTTTTCAAAGTATTATATAGTTAAATCGTCATCGTAGAGTGTTATAGTTTGGTAAAATAATACACTTTCACTCTTATACCTACACTTAGGGCGCATTCACACCATATGCATTTGGGCTGTGCTGGCTGTTTTTTCTAGTGCAGCCCAAACACAAGACAAGGCACTTTGCCTTGTCACAGGTGGGAACAGTCCGCACCACCACATTGCAGCAGTGTGCACTTACAAGAAGCCGTGGTGAGCAACCAGCTAGGGATGCACCGATACCAGGCATTTTCACGAGCACTCTTGAAGATGCCCACATACTAAAAGCCAACGCTGGTGTTTTACATTTTTAAACTGAAGCAGCTGGGGACTTCGGCAGCCTTCCTGTGAACCACGCGACGCCTGTTTACATCCCCCGCCTGAGGCCCCACACAGCGCTGGTGAGACTCCTCACAGCCCTAGTGAGGCCCCACACAGTCTCCTGAGACCCCGCACAACCCTCCTGAGACCTTGCAAAGCCCACCCGAGACCCCACATAGCCCACCTGAGAATCCGCACGGCCTCCTGAGACCCTGCAAAGCCTACTGAAACCCCACACAGCCTACCTGAGACCCCATACAGGCCACTTGAGACCCCGCACAGCCCACCTGAGGCCCTGCACAACCCTCCTGAAACCCTGGAGACATCAGACCACCACCCTGGAGCAACAGTATGTAGCGTCATATTATTCTGCATTGCTGTATAATGTATCGCTGGGATTTGTAGTTCTCTATAGCTGATGGTATTCTACATTGTTCTAAAATGTATTGCTGGGATTTGTAGTCCTCTATAGCTGGTGGTATTCTGCATTGCTGTATAATGCATTGCTGCGTGGCAGACCTCCATGGCAGATCAGTGTGTTTAGACCCGCTTCTATGCTCTCTTCTCTTGGTGCGGTGGCGCCCCTCCTGATCCACTGCAGAGGTGAGGCTTGAAATCACTTCATTAAAATCTTTCCACCATGAAAGATTAGAAGGGGAACCATTTATTATGACCGCGGCGAGTGTACCACTGGCAGAATACCTGAACAGTGACTACAGATGACTGACTGCAGTCACAAGTCTACCAAGAATTTTCGAACCAGCTCTTTTTCGACATAAGTCAGATTTCTGACTTTTCTGATCTGCATATGTAAAGGTTTGGTAACTCAAACTGTATTGAAACCAGACGCAGCCATGGATCTAGCATTTTCAGCAGGACAGCATTGGTAATTCCTATTTTACTAATACATTAAATTAATAAGTTGTGCCATTCTGTGTTACTGTTAGTCTAAAAACTTGTTTTGTGTGTGTGTGTGTGTGTGTGTGTGTGTGTGTGTGTATGTGTGTGTTTAGTGCTCTTATACAACTGTAAAAGTCATGGGATGAGCTTTATTAGTCCGTGACAAAACCGTCAAAGCATAGACATCAGAATTTAAAAGCCAAAATAATCAGGCATAGACAAGAGTCTTATACTGCTGTCACAAGCTAATCACACCTTAAAAAGAAATGAATGGGAGCTTGTATTCTTTTATCTGTTTAGCTCTGAATAACCAGATGACACCATTGGTTTGAAAAACCCCACATCACATATTCTATCCACGTCATCTGATTTAGAGAATGTACATTTAACATATAAAATACGGGGAGGACTTCTTTTAAGGGCTTCCTTGCCCACTTTTATTAAACGAACAGTCACAAAACGATGCGATTACCCTCGCAGGCATTCTTAATCACAGAAATACAGGCACATCCAGCCTCCTGTCTTTGCATTCACAGCACTGCTGCTCCAGCCTCAGGCCACTGTCTGTTCCTCCAGACAGTCTCGTGCTAACCTGCACAATAGGTCTCACAACCCCGCAGCTCCCTGCTGCACTGGCCTCCACTCTGACTCCTGGGTGGAGTTCTCTTGACTCACAGGTGGGGCCCTGAACATCCGCCAGCACCCTTTCCATAAGGGCTGTGCACAGGTGTGCAATCATTAGGTGCTCAACCCTACTAAACCACGGACCTAGGACTGGAGATCTCATCCCTCCCAGTTCTCTTAGAAATCTCAAAGTTCCAGGATCCCAATTATAATTTAGAAAACCCGGAAAGAATTTCAAAGCCAGCTTTTTCCTGGTAAAATGATTTCTGTCCTGGAACTGCTCAGCCCCTCTGGCTGATAGTCCTGGGTGACCCTTTTGCCTTTGGGATTGTACACCCCATTGACACCCATCATACCATAACAATAAACTTAAATAATAAAGTAAAACACAACAACGATTGTGGAATAACTAGGCCGCGGCACCTTTATTGGGTTTTAATTAATTTAACCAATAAATAGACTTTAACCTTTATTACCAAACAGAACCACTGTTAACCATTAGGAGACCACCATGCTTAGTCATGAAGACTCAAGCAGCAATAACTTACACCAACCAAATTACTGTTTACCAACCACTGTCCACCCACAAAGTGGGCGACATTAAGAGAATACATTTTAATGATATATTTACAATTTATTATTTAGGTAAACAAAAAATATTACATAAGCATATTGCATATTTACTATTCCCATCCAGGAGTTAGAACCCTAGGTTCCTGAGTTTACTAGACTAGCATTAGAGCATAAGTAAACTCTTACCAAATATTTCGTAGAGCACTGTAAGTAGAACAGGTTAATAGTAATTTTTGTTTTAAAAAATATAGTTTTCCTTTTTACGTTACTCATATTGTGTCACTGTGCACTGTGCACATCCTGTAGAGCCTTCTGTGGAAATGTATGTGATCCAGTGGCAGCTGCATGTCAAAGTTTTTACTGCAGTGCATACAGTCAGGGCCAGCTGGGATGGCCATGAGCAGTTGCCACACAAGGTGGCCATTTCTGCCGCCCTCGGTCCTCTCTAGGGCAGCAGTAGTGCTGCCTGTGTTTATGTGCACCCACACACATACATAGGCAATCAGGCCAGTGACACATAGCCTGGTAACAGTGTAAGCTCAGCGTCAGTGGCGTCACAAGGGGGGGTGCGGCCCACACCCAAATGACACCATTGGAGGGGCGACACCAAAATGATTGACCATCACCTAGATAGCCGCGGGCAGGTATCAATAAGATCGCCACACATGCGCAATGACGTAATTGCGCACTCGCATGGTGACGTCATGCACGATGACATAACGGCGGGGGGGGGGACGGAGGAACACCCAGCCTCGGGACGCCCCTGCTCAGCGTCACTGAGTAAAAGTTTACTTGTCACCTGACTGGCGTCCTGCCCAGCTTCCTGTAACCAGTGACATCAATGAGCTGGGCGGGACACCGGGCAGAGCTGGAAGCCAGAGGTACCATGAACCACCAGCAACCTCCCCCCTTCCCGTAATGTGCACCACCACCACCGGCCCCCCTCAAGTCGCCTCAGGCGGTGAAAAATGTAGGGACCCCCTATGTATATTTGCATGCATTTAGCCCTGTTTACATGCGTTTATATGCATTTAGCCATGTTTACGTGCATTTAGCTAAACGGTCCCGGGATGCAGAAAATTCTAGTTTTTGTAAACTAGACTGAATGCATCTAGATGCTGATAAACCTGTTGCTGTGAATTCAGCCATTGCATCTGGAAATGAGCCCCAAACATACCTATATTTTAATTCCCATGTGCATGGGTCCTCAAACTGTACATTGAGCTGCGCATGCGTGCAAGTTATGTCATCCCAGCCAAACAAGCTAGCTGAAGACCCTGAACCCAGGAAAAGCTGACGAGAAGTTGTTAGCACTGGCGAGGGAGCTGAATGGGAGGAGCATATAGTTGAACTTGTAACATGTGGGTCACTTAAAGGAGAACTATGGGGTCAGTGTTTTTCCCCATAGTTCTCCTTAGGGCTACAGCTCGCGGTATACTGAGACGCCGCAGCTGGAGCGGATCCCGACATGGACGTCGGGATCCGAGTGATTTTATCTGAAGGAAGATTTTCTGTGTGTGGACAATACACACATGTCACACATTCTATGACAGTCTCTGGTATTTCTATGCAGCAAAGTGATAGAGATACAAATCAGGAAATGCCACGAGGAAGACATAAACAATGACATCCTCTCCTACATCTCCATGCTGGGTGCAGTGCTGTCATCATGCAGCAGACCAGCCCACTGGGACTGACCTCTCAGGGTAATGGAGACGGTGCAGTGTGACTATTATTGGTTGCCTAACAGGTCTCCATGGTTACAGCGTGTTCAAACACAGTACAGACCGAGGCAGATGACAAGTGTACTTCCATGACAGCCAGCTAGCTGAAACGTCGGGTAGGTATAGACACTGCGGCATTGCTGATCAGAAAATATCAATAACTTTATGTAACAAAATGCATTTCATTTTCTACTCAGTCTTACGTGATTGTTACCGGCATAGTTCTATGTGGGTATCTCAGAGTAACTGGCAGATGTGCTATTTATGAATCAGACATTATAATCAACCTTGTCAAATAAGCAAGATTGATCACCTGTTTCCATAGCAACCTGACATCCTTATGCCAACCAAGCCCCCATTCTCACCTGAGCGGCGTGGCAGCGCACATTTCCTGTATGCACTTTTTGGCATGCGTGCACATGACAGCCAATGCATCTAATTGGGCTGCTGTATGGCGACAATTGTAGCAAAGAAATACATGCACCTTTTAAAAAAAATCATGTTGCACCAAAATGCTTGGTACTTCGTATGAGGCGATTTCACATGCAAACTAGATACCGGTAGTTGTTGGTAGATCTAAAGCTCACCACACACGTAACAATCTGATTGTACAATCACCAACAAGTATGTAGTGCAACGGCCTGCCTGATTGGATACAAATTGATTGGATAAATTAGGTAGGTCCTCATATTACACAGTTGTGGTAAATCTAAAGTTGATTGTACAGAGATTGTATGGTCAGATTGTAACGTGTGTGGTGAGCCTAAAGGAGATTGTTCATTCAGATTTTAATGTTTGTGATGAGTTTTAGATCTTTATATCTACCAAAAACTATAAAGGACCTGCCTGATTGGATGCAAACTAAATTGATTGTTTCAGGGATCCCAACCTGAAAAAAATAATTGCAGGGAGGTGCCCTTCTAATATCAGGGAGGTGCCCCCTCCCCCCCAGTCAGGGGGGGTTGGGGGAGCACCCAGCCCCCAAAAAAAAAATTGCAGCAGATAGCAGAGAAGCTAATGCTTCCTGTGCTATCTACTGGGTTATTTTTTTTTATTCTGACAGTTGCTGCCGTCAGAAAGTGGGGGAGCACCCCCCCCCCAAAAAAAAAATTGCAGCAGATAGCAGAGAAGCTAATGCTTCCTGTGCTATCTACTGGGTTATTTTTTTTTATTCTGACAGTTGCTGCCGTCAGAAAAAAAAAAGACGGCATAGAAATGAATTGCTAGATTGCTATCGACTATTTGAATTTACAATAGCCAATAGCAAGCTGCCTATTGCACCCGCCCTCTGCTGCTGTCAATTAGCAGAGAGAGAGGACCTGATGGAGAACTTCAGGTCCCTCTCTGCTGATTGACAGCAGCAGTGGGCGGGTGAAATAGCTAGTCTGCTATTGGCTATTGCAAATTCAAATAGCCAATAGAAATCTAGCTATTCATTTCTATGCCGTCTTTTTTTTCTACTCTGGCAGCGGCAGGCAGCCGACGGCTCCGATATCAGAGTAAAAAAAAACAGACAGCAGGGAAAGGTTTACTCTGCTAGATCGAGTAAACCTTTCCAGGAGAAGATTGTTATGGGGTCTAATGGGCAGCAATAACGCCTGGCAAATATTGGACATAAATGTAATGTACGAGGATGACTCTATGGTCTGGGTTCCTCTATTAGTTTGCTGCATTGTCAGGATATGTTCATTAGATATGGAGGAGCATCCAATACCTGTGTATGGAAATGCTTTACTGGGGGGAGGGTGCCAGGACCCGAGGCTGCAGACATATAGGAAGTTTTGAAATTCATTCCTGATCCAATCAGATATTCCCTGGATCAATAATATCTTCTGTTATTACTTATAAATATTAATATCCAGTTATATTCTGTGCATTTAAAAACACATCCAATATTTGTTTAAACCATCAACTGAGCTGGATAGTAATAGCAAGTTTTCTGTTCCACATTTCACAGCTCTTACTGTGAAGAACCCTTTCAGTGTGTGGAAGGTAAACCTCTTTACTTCCAGATACAAAACATGTCCCCTTGTCTATTGCAATCACTTTAAAGTGAAGAACTTTGCACCAAGTTCACTATATGGACTATTTATACACGGTTACCATATCACCCTTTGTATGTCTCTTCATTCAGTTCAGCAGGGGAGTGCTGAGGCAGGGTGTCACCTGGAGCGGGTACCCGGTGATACCCCGCCGTGGTGTCATCACGCATGACGTCACGCTCTGTTACCTGCCGCCAGCCATCTCGGTGATGGACGCCGGCAGAGAGAGGAGGCACCATACCTTATCCCGCAGGGTCCCCTTCTCTCTCCTGCAACTGTCGGGCTCTCGGTCCATGACCGAGTGCCCAACTTTTCAGAGGGGGTGACATGAAAATGACTGTCAGTCATGTAAACTGAGCTGTCCTCACTTAGGCCCCTTTCACACAGGCAGTACAATCTGGTCTGCCTGTCAGTTTTCCAGGTGGATCAGATTAGAAGCCCAATGTTACCCCATGGTACCCCCCGAGGTACAGAAAAAGAAACAGAACAGAGCTCCGTTTTGGCAGACCTGATCATGACAGCTTGGAGGTAATCAGATGGAAATGTATATGTGGCTGCTTATATCCAAGTCCCCATAGCCCTAACATGGGTCCATACAGCTCAGTTTCTTCCTCCATTGTAAGTAGGGTTGCCACCTTTTCCAGCGAAACCCGAACACTCTAGTGACGCACGTACATTTTTTTGGGAGAATGAGTCGCGGCTTATTCATATGTAAATAGTGTCACCCATTCATATGTAAATATTTTTAGTGGGGGGCCAGTAGCCCCTATCTTAATTTTGGTTGCCCCTGTCTGCCTGACATCATGTGTCCGGGTTTCAGCTGCCATGGAACCCGGACACAGCATTGAAAACCCGGAATGTCCGGGTGAATCCTGGACAGGTGGCAACCCTAATTGTAAGATGGGGAGAAAAATTGAGTGGACAAGAGTAACATTCGTTTTTCATATTGCTGCTCTTATCTGCAGGGGATCTGTGCATGCGTCGCCTGCTGATCGCAATGGGTGGCACCCATCTAAGGTTTCATTCACATTATGCGATTTGGGATCCCTGCAGCAGCTGTACCTGTTCATGTTAATGACTGGGTGACAACCGCTGCATCTGTAAGCGGCAGTCTGCATGTAATTGTATGTCCCTGGATACACGGTAGATGCGTTCAGCAACAGCAATCTATTCCAAACCACTTGACTGTATTATCAGGCCTGGGTGCCAACGGAGAAACTTATTTATCTCTAGACTCTACTAGTCAAGCAACATTTGGCTCTCTCTCTGCTGGGTCTGTAGAGACTACAGTACAAGTCTCTGGTAAGCCAATGATGGGATAGGGGGAAAGTGAGTACAAAGAGGCATGGGGGTTGATTTACTAACCTTATAAACACGCCACGAACATGTATACACCTCTGTAGTGTGTTCCCTCCCAGCATGATCTATGGGTGGAATCTAGACACCTTTGTAGTGTGTACACACCCAGCAGGTGTGTGGTGCAAAGCCCTGCATGAATTGCAAGGTGATGTTGTGTAAATTAGCTCTACATTGTGTTGCTTGCGTTGATGAATGCAGGAATGTAAATGCATGAGCTAACCATTTTTGTCTGAGCTATGGAGCGGCATTATATATGCATCATGTGCATGATTTTTCCATATATAGCATTAGTGGAAATATGCTTTCAGAGACTTTTTGGTTGATAAATACGTTTTGCTGTGTAAAAATCACACGCACCTAGTGCGTGCGTGTGTTTAGGTTAGTAAATCACCCCCATGGTGTGGCTGTTCACACCTAGGTGTTCTGTGAACACGTGGCAAACGTGCACAAAAATGTGTGCTTTGATGTACGTACGCGGAATGTGTCAAAAACATGCAACGTGCATGCAGTGCCATTATTGTTAATGGAAACGAGATGTCTTGCTGCACTCCTTACCGGAAAGAACCCAAACTGGGTGGGTGCTCGTAGTGACCACGGAAGGCACCGTGTATATCACAGAAGAAGAGAATAATGTCACCAGAATAATGACCCCTTGTGGCCCCAAAAGCGCATGTATTGGATGGCAATGTGCCATTAAAATGGAGCATTGATTTACTATTGCGGTGTGCTGGTGACATTATTCTCTTCTTCTATTATTGTTATTGGCACCCCAAATGCAGCCTGGAAAACACAGAATACTTGTTGCAGATTTTACTACTTGAGCTACTTTTCCCGTGTTTGACGTGCGTGAAATAAATGGGCCCTTAGACCCCACTCACATCTAGGTGTAGTGGGAACGCGCATTGAATTCGCATGCATTTTTCCCACGTCTGACGCGCACTCCTGTCATGCCTAGTTGTGAATGGGCCTTAGGCTGTATATGGCTAGAGCTAACAGCAGCATTCTACATGATTGTCTCTACCCAGTCCTTTGAAATGCAAGTTAGGAGTCCATCGTAGAATGTTTCTTCGATTGTGTTTTGATCACATTTTTGTTTTTTTTCTTGTCAACAGGATAAAATGGATTCAGAAGAAAGTTACATTGCAGCACTAACAGAAAAAGCCTGCGAATTGGTAGAAACAGCCATAAAAAATGCCCAGGAATGCCTGAGAAGCCTACACACAGCAACAACTGAGGACACAATTACGGGTAAGTGGACCTACAGAGGCTTATTACCAACTTTGCTGATTCTGTAGATAACTTGCTAGATACACTAAGTACCCCTCTATGCTCACGTCTCTCAGGGGGGAAACAATAAACAATATTTATGCCTCTTGTTTCAGAGCAGAAATACACAATGGAGAACATTTCATGGGCGCAGTGTAAGGATTTCACTGTGGATCTGGGGAAGAAACAAATCGAAGAATATGTTTCTGTAAGTTGATAGTGAAGTGTGATGCTCATATATAGATTACTCTGACTTGATTTGCTCTTTTTTTATATACCATGAACATTAAACACTGTTACTGGATATTTACAAACCTCATCAGGTATATATAACCTGACAATTTAAATTAAATGAAAAATGTATCAATATGCTTTTTATAAGGATTGAAGCTACTTCTCCTGAACATCCAATCAGCACCAGACCTTGAAAGTTATACTGAAGCTGTCGCCCATGCTTTACAACATCCCCCTTTATAACACCAGAGTAATTCTGTCAATTCAAGCATTGGTATATACTGTCATGTGGCAATCTCAAGCCAGGTAAAACGCATTTTTAGCAGCAGGTCAGCAGTAGAATACAATGTGCATTGTTTTTTTTCCTGGCATGCCTCCTTTTAAAGCTTTTAGGCTGAATGTGAGACCATGTGCTAGCATGCTGTATGTGAACAGGCCATGTAAATGGAACTGCAATGGTATTATCACGTTATATGCCATTATGGTGTCACTATGATGGGGTCTGATATCAGTGTCACAGTACAGTCAGCATGCTCTACAGTAACCTCATTATGTCACAATTTGAACATAAATGAAAGGCATATTGTATGAGTTTAGTAACTAAAGCATAGTTTTACTTGTCACAAACAGATGTGGGAATTCCACGAGAGCTGGTTGTACTGTACAGATTTTCTGAAAGAAGAGGAGATGGAGTTCAGTAAGCTGTTCCACTACAGAATGAGATGGAGCATCCCAACCTGCAGGAAACCAATTCCTAGAGCTACTGCCTGTGTCTATTTCACAATAAAGATCTCCAAAATTAAACCACCGGTGAGTATACACAGACCACTGCAGTGGGCACGTAGCAGGGAGGAGAGACCGCTGTCATCTGCTGTGACTCTGCATTCCTCCCCGCGCGCCCCTCTTTGAATCAACTGCCTGCTATTGGATATTTTAAATTGAAGTAGCCAATAACAGACTGTTCTCCTTCAGGTCCTCCTCTGCTGATTGACATCAGGCAGTGGGCGGGTGCAATAGCCAGCCTGCTATTGGCTACTGCAATTTAAAAGCAAGCAATACTGCATTTTAAGGGCTTGTTCACAAGACTGTCCGGACCAGATCCGTGCACTCATGCACCCAAAATGCATCCCATTGTATCCCTATGTGTTTTATGGGCTACAGTTCTCACGAGCGCAGTCCGTTCCGCTCCGGACATTAAAAATACTGCATGTCACATTTTGTCCGGTCCAGAAATGCACGAACGCATCAAAAACGCAATTAAAACGTGCTGAAAACGCACTGCAGCTAACATGCTGACAGCCCCACTCCAACCCAAAAAAACTGGAACACATCAAAAACGCACAGCACCGTGTCTACAGATCTGGACCAGAAAATTGTGTGAACAAGCCCTAAAAGCAGGCAGGGGGCGGGTGCAATAGCCAGCCCGCTATTGCAATTTGAAATCAGCCAACTAATCGATTGCAGCCCCATCTGGGCCACCGAGTAGCACTGCTTCTTTTCTGTGTTCTCCTTACACATAAAGGTCCCCACACACCTTGCGATAATCGTACGATAATCGCGGGAAATCCCGCGATCGTACGATGATCGTAAGGTGTGTGGAAGCCGTGCGACCTCTACTACTGTAAGGTCGCACGACTTTAAACTTACGGACATGTTCGAAAACCCGCCGAGCATCGTACGATGTTCGGCGTGTTTGTGGCATGTCCGTACGATAACAGCCGCACGGGCCGGTGTGCGCAAGCGCACACTGCCCGTTCGGCATTGCGGTCATCGGAAGCCCGCCCCTCAGGGGGTGTGGCTTGCGATCATCGCAAGTACGATTTGACTATGCAAGATAGGCAGATCGTACGTTTTTTTAAGTACCTTACAACCATCGCAAGACAAAAAGAGCTGGTTACAGAAAAAAAAATGCTTTTCAATTGTTTGGCTTAACTTTGATTCTCTATTCTTTTTCAGACTTTGCCAGTGGAAGTATTCTTTGTATTTGAATCAAACAGACTTGTACACAGGTATGCCATTCTTTGATATAAAAGGATTATATTCTGCAATAAATGTACCAGTGGAATGGTTGTGCTTAAAGCAGTCTTGGAATAGTCAGAATTGTCAGTTTTGGGTGGATGCCAGAGTTTAGATTCTTGTATCTACTTTGGAACACAAGTGGGGAGCACTCTGATTCGGAGCTCACAGATACACACTTACCAAGGTCTTTGTGTAGGATTTAGCATTGATCTCAGAGTTGCAATATATTTATTAAGAATCCCGGGAAAAGGAGTGAGAATTTGGCCCCACCAGACCTTCACACATAGCAGAGTTTAGTTTGATGTGTGCAGCAGACTGAGAGCTCTGTTTATTTTGGTATTAGCCTACGGACAAAATGCAGCCTGTTTTTGACATCAGTGTCAGATGCTTCTGAGATCAATAATAATTCAGTGGAAGTGTGCATTCCCATAGACTTGTATGGAGAGAGAGAGAGAGAGACGCAAAGGAAAGCCTGTCAAACACAGGCTCTAAGTTATATTTTCCAAACTATCCCACAATGGCTCTCCTCATCTGCATGGTTTTCACAACAGTAACTCTAAGTATTGTCAGCAGAAATGGCCATTCTACCGGTTTCACAAGGTTGGCAAATTGTACCCTATGTAGTATTCTCAGTGCAAACATCCTGTGTGGGTGCAGGGCTATTAATCAGAAAACCTTCCTCGGGATGTTAGTCCTATTTAGGTTCACTTTGTTACTAGAGGCCTGATTTCAGGGCTAAGCCTTGATGAACTTCCAGCCCCCCTAAACTCCTTACTGTATAGGTTGCAGGCTTTCCATAAGTCAACCCTTTATAAACAAAGGGGAAACCTAATGAAAGAGGATACAGATTGAGGGCTTTCTAGCTAATAAAAGGTTAAATAGACACATTGTGGGACTTCATTTAAAAAAAAAAAAGACTAATAACAAAGAGAACATTTTTAGCACATACTGAAAATATCTGTTAATCTTTCAAGAACCGCAGCATCCTTATCACTGCCTGTGACATAACTTGGAAGCATAAAACAATGATATCTTCATTCTGTAAACTACTAATCTTCTCACTGTCATGTAATGTAGATGAACAAAGGCAGGCACGTTTGAAGTCCAGCCTGCGTGGAAACCCTGGCTCCCGCCATAGATACAGTGGAGTGACTGAGCATACCCACTCAGGGACAGGAATTGTGTTATTCGCAGGATTACCAGGTGGTAAAAATGGGGAAAGAGGCCTGAAAAAATAAAAGTAGGCACCTGAGGCCTAGCAATGTGCAATACATGATTCTGTATCTGTTTTGGTTTAGATTTACACTTTAATTCACTAAAAGACACATGGATTGTTCAGTGCATGTAAACTGACCAAAAAAGATGGTAAAATTAACTCCGTTATGTGCGGAACAAACTGCGTATTTACTATTATGGATGCACCGATACCAAAACCTCCGGTCAGAGGAAGATCTCCGAGGGAGCATGGAGCCGCCATCCATTCCAATCAGGAAGCCGGGCGGTGCGTTATGACCCAGCTTCCTACAATTGGCCAGGCAGCCTGGCTTCCTAAGCAATCAGGATAATGGGCGGCATGTAATGCCCTGCCTCCCAGCGAACCAGAGGGCGAGTCATGACGTGCCGCCCAGCTTCCTGATTGGCTAGGAAGCCGGCTTCACTTGTTGGTAAGCAGCCTGGCTTCCTAACCAATCAACCAGGCAGCACGTCATGACTCATGTCCCGGCTTCCTGGTTGGCCAGGAAGCCTCGGCAAGTGAAGCTGGTGTTCTTTCGCTAGAACACTGGCTTCACAGGCAATCAGGAATCCAGGCGACGGGTCCTGATAATCTGGGCACACGGCACCGGTACTCAGTATTGACGAGTACCGAAAAAAATGAATAACAATCGGTACTCGATACCTAAAAACGATATCTGTGCATCCCTACGTACTATGCATTTGAACTCTTGGATTTGTACGGGTGTTTGTTTTGAAACTTACAGCCGCTTTTCCTGCTTTTAAAAACAGCTTCTGTATTTGATAAACAAAGCCTAGCAGATTGTGAAAACACATGAGCACACCACTACACATTACGTACTTTTACATCCCACCAAGAAAGAACAGGTCACACGTGAACATTCACTTGTCTTTCTTTTACAGGCCTGGACAGACAAGATTCAGAGAAAAATGGCTGAAAGACATCATTGAAAGCAAAATGATCATGATGGACAGTATTACATTTTAACTTTACAGAGAGGCGGCTTTCATGTCTGCATAGTAAAACAGGCAATAAAACTCGGAATAAAAGACATTTACAGGCGTTCAAGCAAAGAGTGATATCTCAAAGATCATTTCGGAGAACACTGCAGACATAATAGAAATGACTTCTACACAGAGCCTTTGCCTGAAAGGACTGGTTGTATTGGCCAACGCATCTAAAACCTTGCTCCAGCTTCATTCTACACTGAAAACAATGGCAGAAGTGGATTGCTATGCGTCTTCTTACGTTATACAAATAAGGGGTAGGCAAACTCGAAGCTCCAGCTGTGGTGATACTACAAATCCCATCATGCATGTGCCTCTGGGAGTCATTCCTGTGGCTGTTGAGGCTTGCAAAGCCTAATGGGATTTGTAGTTGCAACACAGCTGAAGGGCCAGAGTTTGCCTACCCCTGCGTTATAGCAATGTGTTGTCTGCGATTCCATTACATAGTATTTGGTCTTCATGTTGTTACATATTTTTATATGTTACTCACTGCTTACTTGTATGTAAATGCCAAATATTGAACCTACACATCAGCATTTGCATAGAATCTGCTGTTGTGATCAAAGCGGTTTTTTTTGTTCGATCGGAATCCCGCCATGATTTTGCACAAATGAAAACAAATATTTATCTTCCATGCCACCATATAAAACAGGTTTTTACAAAACCATTCCTTGTTCCTGTAATTTATCAACTGCCTGTCCCAGAAATCTACACAAGCATTAGACTCGGCCCATTCAATACAGCATTTCTAACAAGGTTCCCTTAGGTTTTCATAGTTGGCATGATACCCACACATATAAAATTAGGTCAATGGATAGTCATGTGATTACAAAAAAGTAGAACCGCTTCCAGAGCAATCTTTTTGAAAGATCTCAAACAGACCTGTCACTGGGTGGCTATGATACGTACCGTATTTGCCGGCGTATAAGACGACCCCCTAATTTTTCTGTTAAAACATAGGTTTTGGGCTATACTTGTTGTATAAGACGAGTACAGCCCAAAATAATGTTTCAATACACCCACTAACCTCCTTGGCGGTATTCCCGAGTGTGGCTCGGGGTTAATTTTCAGTACCATAAGCGGTAACCCCGAGCCACACTCGGGATTACAGCGTAGCGTCTCTTACCTTGTCCACTATCCCCGCTGTGTCTTCCGTCCCTTGCGAGCGTCCGTGTCGCAGGGGGGCGGAACTGGCAAGTTAAAAAAAATAAAAAAAATAGAACAAAAAAGGAAAAAATTATCAGACTGCCAGGGAGGCTAATCACGGCGAGCGATGTACACAACCTCTGCCAATCCGAGCAGGCTTTGTATTAATAGAATACATCGCTCGCCGTGATTGGCTCAGCGTGGTGTACTGTATGTAGCCAAAGCTACCGTACATACAGTATTACCGCACATGGGTTGACAAAGGGAGAGATGGGACATGTCAGACCAGGTCGGTTGCTAAATGTACACTAAATATGGTATACTCCGGATTGTATACCCGGCGCATAAGACGACCCCCGATTTTAAGGGGATGTTTTTAAGTCTAAAAACTCGTCTTACACGCCGGCAAATACGGTAGTGATCATCCGTCTTCCAGCCTCTAACCAACAACCATACAAAAAGGTACAATACTGCATGTTTAAAAGTATGTAATGAAAACTTTAGCAAAAACACGATTTTTCCCTAGTAAGTCTACTTGGGGACCCTCCATTTAAATTGAAAAATTCTTTGCTACGCATTATACACTTTAGAAACCTTCCTTTCCCCGTTTTGTATGCTCTAATGAATACTTTATTAGTTTTCAGTTACACAATATTACAATGAATAAACCCCCAACCTACAAAAAGCAGAGGCATTGTATTTACACAAGTGACATATCCTTTCACACAGCCTTTTGCAGTGAATTAAAGAAAGTATGTACATACAGTTCTTCATGAACACTTTTAGAATATCCAGCACACACACAATGATCCAATATATTACAGCACAGTTGCTTGATACTGTACACCAGGGTCAGTTCACCCAAATTCATATTCAGTTTTTTGTCAGATGCGGCAAAAATGAAAGCACCCGACAATTTAGGTCTCTTTGGGATTCCATTGAAAAAAATAAAATGTCTGCTTGAGGTCCTGGTGCGTCGTACCTGCTGTGGTCATTCTGGGATGTCTCCAGTCTCCCTGTTAGATTGTTTTTATACATTATGGAGAATGTAACACTGGAAACACAATCTCGGAGGTGGACAAGAGATCTCAAGACAAGTGCTGACTTAATCCACCTGTGTTGCAGCAATGACTAAAATATGACTTCTGGGTGGGCAAACATTTTCACAATACAACAACCTCCGAGACAATAACCCCAACAAAAGTATCACATGAACCAAAGGACTTTCAAAACTTTAAGTACATTGTATTCTGCAGCAAATAAAAGACATATAAAAAAAAAAAAAAAAAGGTTCCTTTTTTACCCAACACATATTCTGAGCTGTGAGCTTATAAAATAATATAAAAGAAAAGACAAAATATGTGTCAAATCTTTTTTATTTGAATAATAAAAACAGTTAAAAAGATACACACAATTGTAAAATATAAGTCACGCTGATCAATAAGAGACCTAGGTGATTCTGAGTAAGGGGGCATGACCCTGAAACGCGTAAATCCAGCCTAAAAACAGCCGTTGGCACAATGGTATGGTGATGTGACCAGAGGCAGTTTTTTTTTTTAAACGCAGTCGGAGCGGAACATTCCTTAGACATTGATCTTGTGGTCTCCTATTGACAAGCGTGACTTATATTTTACAATTGCGAGTATTATTAACCGTTTTCATTATTCAAATAAAAAAAAAAAAAGATTTCACACAAGGGGGTGGCGCTTTCTTGCTTTGACGAGCAGCCTCTCCAAAAGCTGTGGCTAATTTGCAAGAAGGACTACTCCTGGAGGATTGTGTGATGGTAATCATTAGCACCAAGAGTTACATTGACTGTTTCTTATACAATAATATGATGGGCTTCAATTTCAGGTCACTCTGGAAGGATATCTTTATTACAGATTATATACAAGTTAAAAGTTCTTTGCAAGTCTTTCCCAGTTGTGAAGAGATTCTAGGAAAAGTAAAATTCTCATTTGTCCTCTTTCCCTTTGGTTTTTCTGTACACCATCTCTCTGAAGCTGGACAGGATTTTGTTTTCCCTCTTCCGCCTCTCTTCTTGGTTGAAAGAAGCCAGCGCCCTCTTCTCATCTGCACTGTAAATCTGGTTCTCCTTACGCAGACGGACAGCTTCCATACGGCGATGTCTGTACAGATACAAGATCATGTTAGCAGAAGCTAAATTATTCTCTTCTCCACAATCCCACCAGATAATACTGGAGACACCGCAAGGTGAGATCCAGTGTGAAGCTAAGAATGTGGCAAGGAGCAGCAATGATGAATACGCTGTATGGGAATACCGGTTTCTGTTTGTTCTGCAAGGTGTATTTAAATGAATGTTTACCATACTTAACCCTGTTTGTAATGTGCTGGCAGGAACCAGTTGTGAACTAGGATTTAAACACCGCCCCAACAAAGGGTTAAAGAAGCTTGGCTTCTTGCAATGCATGTTTAGTACTGGCAATCTACAAGTAGATACTTATATTTAAGAATGTGACCATGCACATCATCTCAGGGGAGGAAAATGCCTTTCCCTGAGATGGGATTTCCCAGCAATGCTCTGCTGATGTAATCTTCCCAGGCTACAACACTTGGGCACAGAATACAACACTAATACCCCAAAGGATCCAGAAGTGGAAAAACAATAATTGTAAAGTAAAAGAAAAATATGTTTAATGAAAGACGATTTCTTATCAGCATGCAGAACTGCACACTGATGTGATTTTTAAGTGTAAGGTGCAAGGTCCACTTTAATGAAAGGAAACAGTCTGTCCCCCTTTGTCTTGGGGACAGACTCACAGCTTGCAGTCTGCCCAAATGCCCGTTACAAGGAAATATCTAAAAAAGGTAAGAAATACATTTATAAAATTATTTCTAGGTTTGCTGTGTGAATGAGAACACGAATACACACGAATAGGGCCATACTCCAACGTTAGAGATGCTAAGGGTATGGCCCCATTCACTTCTATGTGTATTTCTTGCACAGGAGTAGCCAAACACAGGACATTGCAGGCCAGAGAAGGCCACCGTTGATATGAAGAGATAAGCAAGCACTGTGGTTTGGGTGGCTCTAGGTTAGATTAGGTTATTTCACTAGTGAGGGTGAACTTTTTACCTGAAATGACAATCTCTGGAGAACGTGGTCCATACAGCTTCACAAACAGCACATAATACTGACAAATGCTGTATAGGTCAGCGGGTTATACAGCATGAAGGGATTTTCTACCCAAGTTTATAAAGGAGGCTTAGAGGCTGCTCAAGCACCAAAGACTAATTAATACAGTTCTGCCCCAAAACCCTTTGAAACCATACAGCATGAATGACTATTCAGTTGTGTTTTGCACTTGATACATGGAAAACACAGATTAGATTTCTTTACAATGCCACATGTGTGCAGATAACGGACTTGGTAGCACAACTGTAAGATATTACATAGTATGTACTACAGGCTTTATGTAACATTGATGTGTTGCTCACACGCAGCGATGAAATCAGATAATCTTTCTTTCATGACTAGATGATAAATGTTCTGGTCATGCAGTAAACTAAAAACTGAACTTTATCATTTTAAAAGAGCCCCAAAACCTTTCAGTGCTGCCGTCTTTAGTCTGAACAACAAACACTCACCTGCTTCCACTCATTACATAGCCTGAAATCTCAAACGAGGCAATTTCATCACTTGTCAGGCCAATTTCACCTCTCCTGGGGATGCGCTTTCCAGCTTTCACATATTCCGCCATTGCAGCACCCTCACCAGGTAGTAAAGCATGACCATAGCTTTAAGGGTAAAGACGCATTAAAGATGGTGAAAAGCAGTTCAGGTCTACACACATAACACACAGATATAGGCCAAGTTCTTTCTTTAGTTGTATAATCAATACTAAATAAAATGTATTCATCTGCAGTACACAAGCTGTAATACCCAAGAATGGGAACTGCATGGAGTTTCCTTAGCGTCCTCACAAATATGTAACAAATACTTGGGTCAATGTTGCTGCTCACACTGCAGTCACTCTCTACAAGGCGTTAACACTGGCGCCTAATGCTGCCGTTTAGTACTAAAAATGTTAAAGTCTATATCCACTTTTGCAGCCAAATTGGGAGAACACCTATTTTATATTAGGTCTTCAAGCGGTTAAATTGCTGCTTGCATAAAACATGCTTGATTGTCAAACAAAAGTTTTTATCTGCACTGAATTTTCCTCTGGAATGCAAGGGGGTGAGGAAGGTAATGTTTATGATAATGAACCCGGTCCGTACTGTGCTGGCAAATGTCATTATCAATTGTAAGCTACATTCAAAGACTGTCTGTCCCAAAGGGTTAAAGATCTAGAAGCTTGGCTTCTTTCCTGCATTTTAATGAGGGGGAACTCAGTCTGTCCTTAGTCTTTCTTTAGGTGCCCATACACTGCACGATTATCGTACGATAATCGTATGCGATCGGGTTTTCGTACGATAATCGAGCAGTGTGAACGGAGACGTGCGACCGTTTCTACTGTACGGTCGCACGTCTTCTGTCGAACCAGCATGTTCGAAAACCAGCCGGGAATCGTACGATTCTCGGCTGGTTAGAACGGTGCTCGGAAGATAAATGCTGAACGGGCCGGTGTGCGCACGCGCACACTGCCCATTCAGCATTGCGGTCATCGGAAGCCCGCCCCTCAGGAGGGCGGGCTTGCGATGATCGAGAGTGCGATCTGCCTGTCCAAGATGGGCAGATCGTACGTTTTTTTAATCCCTTTACAACCATCGCAAGACTAAAGTCTTGCGATGGTTGTAGAGTGTATGGCCACCTTTTTTAGGATATGCGAATAGGAACACAAAAACATGTAGTGGGGTTTTCTCAATTTTGCCTGCGAAAGTGGAAATACACTTAAGCTCCAGAATTAAAGGGTCACCTTATCTCTTTACATGCTGCATTTTGAAAACCATGATTAAATTGGATCCACATTCTTTATACCATAGATGTGAATATTAGGGATGCACCGATATATCGGCTGAAAATGGCACTTTTGGCTAAATGCCAAAAGTGCATTTTTTCCTGCCGATACATCCGCGCATCCCAGGTTTCTTTCCTCCCTGCTGGGCGCTGATCTGTGTGCCAGCGGGGAGGAGAGAAAGTGACAGCCGGCCG